AATTTCAGAGAATGTGTTGGGGGATACAGTTGTCAATCTATGTTTGTCCTCGTTCACTATAATTGAAAGAACAGATCTGCAGCTGCTGATCCTGGATGAAAATTGCCGTAGGCTTTTCGAGTGTCAAAGATCTTCCAAGTTTTCTTTGCACTTGTACCTTGAGACAACATCAAGTAATAATTTACAAGCAGCAGGAGCAGCAGCCGAGCTCAATGTGCAGAAGGTGTTGTGTATGTGTGATAACAGACTATGCCCAGGGAGGGGCCAACCTGCTGTGCTCAGCCTGATATATGACACAAAGCATCTCTATAGCTCCTACCTACCTGCACATTACATGTGTATGTGTTGGATCAAGTGGTCTTTACATCCGCTTCTGTGAGGCCATGTTTCTCAAAAGTGTGATTTGTCGGTCACCGTAAAACCCAGACAAAACAACATTTATGACAGAGATTATGTTTCTTTACAGAAACTTGTGTTGTATGCTGCATGTAAGTGTGTGTACCAGTGTGTGTGTGTTGCATGCTGTGTGTACGTGTTTGTACCTGGTGTGTGTTGTTTGCTGTGTGTACGTGTTTGGGCCAGTGTGTCTATTGTGTGCTATGTGTGTACGTGTTTGTGCCAGTGTGTGTGTTGTTTGCTGTGTGTAAGTGTTTGTGTCAGTGTGTGTATTGTGTGCAAATGCCTGGTGGGCCGAACGCCGGCCACCGCTGTGTTCCATGACAGCCGGTGGGGAGATCAAAGATCTCCCTCACCGGCCCATATGCAGTGAAATGTGGCCACCAGCTGGGGAGGGAGACAACCAGGAGAGGAACCCGGAGGAGCTCTATCGTGCAGCTCCGCCAGGTTTCTCTCGCGAGATCCGGAGTGTTGCCATGGCATGCTCCGGGTTTCGCGAGAGTGAACTCTAGCCTTACAGGCTAGAGTCCACTCAACACTAGGACCACCAGGGATGGATGGCAGCAGGGCTACCCCTCCCAGGCTGCAGGTAAGAAGAGAGGGGGGATATAATGCCTGTTTTTTTTTATTATAAAAAATAAATAAATACACAAATCTTGGCATTAACCTGCCTCCCCCCAATACACAACCCCTCCTAACACATACACAGCACCCTAACACACACACACATCACCCTCACACAGCACCCTAACACACACAGCACGTCACCCTCACACAGCACCCTAACACACACAGCACCCTCACTCACACACACACATCACCCTAACACACAGCACCCTAACACACACAGCACCCTCACTCACACACACAACCCTCACACAGCACCCTAACACACCCACATCACCCTCACACAGCACCCTAACACATAGCGCCCTCACACAACACCCTAACACACACACATAGCATCCTCATACAGCACCCTAACACACATCGCCCTCACACAGCACCCTTACACAGCACCCTAACAAACACCTCACCCTAACACACACATCACCCTCACACAGCACCCTAACACACACAGCACCCTCACACACACACATCACACAGCACCCTCACACACACACAAACACACACAGCACCTTCAAACACACACTATACTCCTCACAAATGCACACTACAACCTTCACACACACACACACACACACTGCACACCTCACCAGGGGCGTGCCTAGAGCATTTGGCACCCGGGGTGGGTCCTATTTTTGGCACCCCCCTTCAACTTTAAATGTACAAAACAACCAAAAAATGTTTATATATTTAGCACTGAGCACTGTTTGTGTGTTTGAATGTATGCATGTTTCTGTATGGAGTATGTGTGAGTGAATGTAGGGGTGTGTTTGTATGTAGTGTTGGAGTTTGCATACAAGCATGCATTTGTGTGTTGTGTGGTATTTGAATGCAGTGGTATGGTTATATATAATGGTGGGGTTTGTATGTAGTGTTGACATTGAAATGCATGAGTGTATTTGTGTGTAGTGTTGGCGAGATTTTGAGATGTCTACACACATGCAGATACATATACACACGCAGTTACACAGAAACACAGTCACACGCAGATACACATTGACACACATGCAGACATTGTGGCAACTCTAGGAACAATATATATTGGGTGGGCACATAAGATACCACAGTCAAAACAGGGGGGGGAGGGAGGGTGAGCAGTAAAACTTCTCACTAGGGGATGGGGTAATATGCTGCCATTAGCTGTCTGATGCCAGCATGCTGTGTTCTGCATGCTGGCATCTGACTACACATTTGCATAGAATTCACATTAGCCGCACAGATTTCTTGTTGTGGGCTGGCTGACACCTCTTAATTTCAATCGTTGTTTAGCAGATAACTCCCCTATTTTATATCCTTATGTGGGATTGCCATATTTAAGGACACCAAATAAGGAGCTATCTACTAAACAGCACCCTAATTTAGTATCTTTAAATATGGAAATCTCACATACGGGCACCAAATCAGGGAATTATCTACTAAATAGCTAAAAGATCAAGATTAAAAAAGCCCTTTTCCTAATTTTCAGTTGTTTAGTAGATAAAATCCTTAATTGTTTTCCTTATGTGGGATTGCAATATTTAAGGACACCAAATGAGGGAGCTGTCTACTAAACACATACACAGAGATACACACAATCACAGATATACACAAACACAATCACTGACCCACACACATACAATCACAGACACACAATCACATACACACACAAACATTACATACATACACACATTTAATAATTAAGAGGTCCACCCAGCCTCCCTACCTTGCTCTAGAAGGGCTGGAGTGGATTCTCAGTCCCTGGTGGTCAGTGGTTGCTACTGGGATCTCTGTGCTCTTCCTGCACAGGTCCATCGGACGCCCTGTAATGACAGCGAGGCCGCGATTACATCATATCACGGCTGCCGGCTCTGGATGTCACAGACAGTCACACATACAATCACAGGCAGACAGTCACACAGGCAGACAGTCACACATACACACAACACAGTCACAGACAGTCACACACACACCCACAATCACAGACAGTCTCACACACACACACACACACAGGCAGACAGTCACACACGCACAGTGACACACACACACACACACAGTCACACATACACACAACACAGTCACAGACAGTCACACCCACAATCACAGGCAGACAGTCACACACACACAGAGTCACACAGACAATAACAGGCAGTCACCCATACACACAACACAGTCACAGGCAGTCACACACACACACACACACACACACACAAACACACAAGCACAGGCAGACAGTCACACACACAATCACAGTCAGACAGTCACACACAAACACACACATTCACAGACAGTCACTCACACACACACCCACAATCGCAGGCAGACAGTCACACACACACACAATCACAGGCAGACAGTCACACACACACACAGTGACACACACAGTCAAAGACAGTCACAATCACAGTTACACACAGCAAACACGCTCTCACTTACAGTAAGCTTGGGCTGGAGGAGGAGTGGATTCAGTCTCTGCTGTGTTGTGGTTGGGGAAGCAGGGACTGTGTGAGCAGTAAGAGGTTGCATTTAGCTCCGCCCATACATCCGGCTTGGCTCCGCTCCTACGGCCGTTCTGGCTCCACCTCCAAATCTCAGTGCAGGTTTTCTGCTCCTGCTGCCAGCCCCTGCATGTGTGAAGTGTCGGCTGCCTGGCGCCCCTGCTGCTATGGTGCCCGGTGCAGCCACACAGATTACAGAACCCCAAGCCTGGCCAGCCCTGGTGGCACCCCCCTACCTGATGGCACCCGGGGCGGAAACCCCCACACCACCTTTAATACGCCACTATGCCTCACACATACACAAAGCAGCCCCAAACATGCTGCACCACTCACACACACACACACAATACTTCCAAACATATATGTATATATACTACAGAACCCCTCACACACATACTGCACCCCTAAACACATTATATACAAGACAAACACTAGATCCCTTACCCAATTCTGGATCATCTACAGATATACATACACTAGATCTCTATAGACACTCTGAATCCTCTATACACACACACACACACACACTCACTAGATCTACTATACACATTTTAAGTCCTTCAAACACACATTAGATCCCTACACACAGACGCAGCACCACCTACACACACACTACATTTCTGACATACAAACTCTGGATCCCCTATGCACACACTAGATTCTATGTAAGCAAACACATAGTGTCTCCATAAATGGGATAAAGTGAGTATCCCAATTATGGAAACCCCTGAGACAACTTTCAAGCAAACACAGAGGAAGCATGTTTGCTTTCACTGTGCAGAACAAATAGAGGGCCCTTTTCTCATGCTAGAGCTCTTCAGCAGAGCTCTGCGCATGGTCTGCCCTGGAAGAGCATTGAACCAACATGCTTACTTCAGGGATGACAAGACACACCCTATCTGGCTCTGCCCCAGGGGTCAAGTCCTGGAGAAAAAAGTGTGGGAACTCACCCAAGAGTCCCGCCTCCCGCCCCCCCCCCCTTAAAAAAAATTTAAAAAAAATTACACTCCTATGCATATAGTGCAGTGCAGGGTGTGTATAATAAATGTAGTGTGTTTGTAGTGAATGCAGAGTATGAATAATAAATGTAGTGTGTTTGTAGTGAGTGCAGTGTGAATAATAATTGTAGTGAATTTGTAGTGAGTGCAGAGTGTGTAATGAATGCAGTGTGTGTTTTAGTGAGTGCAGAGTGTGTATAATGAATGTAGTGTATTTGTAGTGAGTGCACTGTGTATAATAAATGCAGTGTGTTTGTAGTGAGTGAAGAGTGTGAGAGTGCTGGACGACGTGCGTGCGAGTGCTGGACGACGTGCGTGCGAGTGCTGGACGACGTGCGTGCGAGTGCTGGACGACGTGCGTGCGAGTGCTGGACAATGTGTGTGCGTGTGTGTGTTGGATGATGTGTGTGTGTGTGTGTGTGTTGGATGATGTGTGTGTGTGTGCTGGATGATGTGTGTGTGTGTGTGCTGGATGATGTGTGTGTGAGTGAATGCTGGATGATGTGTGTGTGAGTGAATGCTGGATGATGGGTGTGTGAGTGAGTGCTGGATGATGGGTGTGTGAGTGAGTGCTGGATGATGGGTGTGTGAGTGAGTGCTGGATGATGGGTGTGTGAGTGCTGGATGATGTGTGTGTGAGTGCTGGATGATGGGTGTGTGAGTGCTGGATGATGGGTGTGCTAGATGATGTGTCTGTGTGTGCTGGATGATGTGTGTGTGTGTGCTGGATGATGTGTGTGTGAGTGCTGGATGATGGGTGTGTGTGTGAGTGCTGGATGATGGGTGTGTGAGTGCGTGCTGGATGATGGGTGTGTGTGTGCTGGATGATGGGTGTGTGAGTGAGTGCTGGATGATGTGTGTGTGTGTGCTGGATGATGGGTGTGTGAGTGAGTGCTGGATGATGGGTGTGTGAGTGAGTGCTGGATGATGGGGGGAGGGGGAAAGCATTTTTTTTTAACTTTATGTATAATTTTTATTTTATCCCCCCTCCCTGCTTCTTACCTTGTCAGGGAGGGGGGAGATCGCCTGGTGGTCCGGTGGAGGGAGCCAGCCGCTGCACACAGGGGCCATCGCACGCTGTGTTCCCTCTCCAGCTCTAACTCTCGCGAGACTCGCCTGTGTGGAGCGTTGCCATGGTAACAGCCGCGGGTCTTGCGAGAGTTATAGCTGGAGAGGGAACAGCGTGTGATGGCCCCTCTGTGCAGGTAGCAGGGCCGGTCCTGCAGGACAGGTAACGGGAACGGCGTTCCTGCTGTGGAAAAAGTGCGGGAACGCCATTCCCATGCGTTCCTGCAGGACTCGAGCCCTGCTCTGCCCCCTTTTCAATGGGCCGCTGGGGATAAAAAATGCCCGGATTTTTTGTCCCAGTCCAGCCCTAGTGCTGTGTGTACATGTTTGTGTCAGTGTGTGTGTTGTGTCTGTATAAATACACACCCCGTCTCTCCTTATTACATTTGGCACAATGCTTATTTGATTATAACTTTCAAGTCATTGCATAGCCCAAAGTGTACTGTAAACTGCATGCCCTCCATTTCTGTATCACTGACCTACTTACAGGGTGTCAATAAATAGGCATTCACTTCATGAATAATTCCATATCTGATCCAGCCAATTAATGCACTCACATCCAGGGCCTTCTTTAGAGCATTAGACCTCCAGCAAAGCAGTGTACTGGGGCCCGGCCTACACAACTACTCACAGAAAGGAAAATGATTCATAAAATTAAGCTTATATTTATTGGTACCTCCAGCAAAATCAGTGTTTAAACATTAAAAAATGTGCTGTACAGCAGAGATTAATCCACAGAAACATTCAGTAGGTAACAGGGAGATTGGACTGTTAAAAATATTAGAAGAGCTTTATCATAGCTTAAAGGCTTCAGAAACGTACTTGTGTTGATTTTGTATGCCCAACAGCAGGATCACATGAACAGATAACAGCTGATATTGTAGGGATAAGTCAATTTTAATGTTTTATTAAAGAGGGTTTGACGGTTCTGTATAAATCTCCTGAGATAATATACAGGAAAGTTGGCAAACCTACAGGGCCCCTAATTTCTATTCATTACGTAATACAATGCCGTGACAATGGAATGGTAGCAGTGATATCCTATCGCCCAGAAGCCTTTGATTTATGACCTGCTGGGCTATAAAGACACAATTTAGGGATTGGTTCTCTAGATACAAAGTATACAAATAAATTCCTATACATCCTATAGATGAGAACATACATGTTAGCTATATGGCATGACATGGAAAATCCAATGCACTTATCAAAGAATGTTAAACTATATCAAGCGGCAACAAAATAAATCAAAAGGCCAGCTCTTCACATTATCTCCTTAACCAGTCAGCACTTTAAGCTGCCAACTTTTTAAACACTCAGCTGCTTAACCAGTAAACGTGTTAAACATTCACCAACTTAACCAGCTAATTAGTTAAATGATCAACACTTTAACCAACCATCTCCCTTACGAGCAACATTCCTAAGATTTCATTTCTTTAATCCAGCCGTGCCCAAAAGGTAGATCCCCAGATGTTGCAGAACTACAACTCCCATGATGCTTTGCATGCCTTTAGAATGCGTTTAGAATGACAAAGCATCACGTAAGTTGTGGTTTTAAACCATCTGGGCATCTACCTTTTGTACACCCCTGTTTTAATTAGTAAATGGCATAAATCACAAACTCCTTAACAAGTCAAATTCCCAATCAGTGAATTCTGAACAAGTCCACTCTTTAACAAACTGATTCCTGATAAGTTCACGCCTTAACCAGCTAACTATGTAACCACTTAATTTACCAATCATCTAAGATGACTATTTAAATAATTAATCCCTTAACTAGTCAAGAATGTATCCAGTTATTTACTTAAAGAACCATTTTAGCCATCTACCTATGCTGAGTACATATTGCTTACAACGTTACAGAACATTCTACCACGAAGCGTTAAACTCTAAAACCTTTTTCTTTTTATTGGAACATGATGTATTATCTTTAAGAAATATAGAAAACATAATGGCTAGATTGTTCCCCATCAATTTCGTTTTGAAATTGCCATACAGTAACTATTGTTTGCCATTTGTTTTTACAAAATGATGTTTGATTGGACACAACTGAAAGTTAGAAGCTGAAGGAATAAGAATTCTATGGCCTTATGATTACTGTCTGTCTGTGTCTTCTGCAATCTGTCTCTGGTATTGAAAACCTTTAAAAGACACAGCAGACCATCAATGGTCACAAAGCCTCCAACATTTAGGGAAGAAAAGCCATTTATTACAACCTTTTGTTATGAATGGTGACAGAAAAGCTACTTATAAATTGCTGCATACAATTTCCTAATAAAATCACCCAAAGAATATGGTTCAAGCCAATTAACCATTAACCCCCTTAGTGAAATGTGCTGTGTTAACCAACACCTCCAGCATAATTTATTAAGAGCTAATTAAAACCAGACATAAAATAAAACATTTATTTAAAGGGACACTATAGTCACCCAGACCACTTCAGCTCAATGAAGTGGTCTGGGTGCAATGTCCCTTAGGTTTAAACCCTTCAGATGCAAACATAGCAGTTTTAGAGAAACTGCTATGTTTACATTTGGGGTTAAGCCAGCCTCTAGGGGCTGTCTTCTGGACAGCCACTAGAGGCGCATCTGCGACGCTGGAGGCATATTATGCCTCCATCGCGCAGAGCATCCATAGGAAAGCATGAGAAATGCTTTCCGATTGACAGTTTGAATGCGCGCGCGGCACTTGCCGCTCTTGCGCATTCGGATCAGCTAATGTCGGACCGGGGAGCTGACGTCAGCGGCCAGTGCTGAGGGAGCCCGGCGCTGGAATAAGGTAAGCTGCTGATGGGGTTCTAACCCCTTGAGTGCCACGGCAGGGGTACCCTGAGGGTGGGTGCACCCTCAGGGCGCTATAGTGTCAGGAAAACCGCTATGTTTTCCTGACACTATAGTGATCCTTTAATGTATCTTTCATTTTACCCATTTAACCCTGGCCAATGTCTCTCACACAGAGCAGTGTAATGTCCTAATCAGGGCTGCTTCAAGGATTTATGCCACACTAGACCTAAATCAACTTTATTTCTTTTTACTGGTATTTTACCTCTCCATATGTCTATGTCATACTAGCTAACTTTGTGCTGGGGTTGCAATATGTGTGTGTTGAAGATTGAGTGTTTGGGGCTGCAACATGTGTGTGTGTCAGGATCCTATCCTGACAAACAAGACTTTTTGTTCCATTTATTCTGATCCTTTAAAAGCAAGTTCATGCACTGATTATGTTTGACCGCTAGTGGCCTCCCTTGTCTCTATTTCTGGAAACTTACCTTATAATCCTCACCTGCATGGACTAATTGAGCAACCTACAAAAGGCTACAACCAACTCACCACAGGGCCTTTACATGGAAGTTGATGCTCATCCTGAAACACTTCAGATCCTTACCTCCTTTGCTTCAATCCTGCTTACTTCCAACCCTGCTCAATACCAGCCTGAACTACTCCTCAATCCTGCTTACTACAAAAAATGCTTGATACCAGCCTGAACTACTCCTCAATCCTGCTTACTTCCAACCCTGCTCAATACCATCCTGAACTACTCCTCAATCCTGTTACTTCCAACCCTGCTCAATACCAGCCTGAACTACTCCTCAATCCTGCTTACTTCCAACCCTGCTCAATACCAGCCTGAACTACTCCTCAATCCTGCTTACTTCCAACCCTGCTCAACACCAGCCTGAACTACTCCTCAATCCGGCTTACTTCCAACCCTGCTCAATACCAGCCTGAACTACTCCTCAATCCTGCTTACTCCCAACCCTGCTCAATACCATCCTGAACTACTCCTCAATCCTGTTACTTCCAACCCTGCTCAATACCAGCCTGAACTACTCCTCGATCCTGCTTCCTTCCAAACCTGCTCAATACCAGCCTGAACTACTCCTCAATCCTGCTTACTCCCAACCCTGCTTAATACCCGCCTGAACTACTCCTCAATCCTGCTTACTTCCAACCCTGCTCAATACCAGCCTGAATGAACTACTCCTCAATCCTGCTTACTTCCAAACCTGCTCAATACCAGCTTGAACTACGCCTCAATCTTGCTTACTCCCAACCCTTCTCAATACCAGCCTGAACTACTCCTCAATCCTGCTTACTCCCAAACCAGCTCAATACCAGCCTGAACTACTCCTCAATCCTGTTACTTCCAACCCTGTTCAATACCAGCCTGAACTACTCATCGATCCTGCTTCCTTCCAAACCTGCTCAATACCAGCCTGAACTACTCCTCAATCCTGCTTACTCCCAACCCTGCTCAATACCAGCCTGAACTACGCCTCAATCCTGCTTCCTTCCAACCCTGCTCAATACCATCCTGAACTACTCCTCAATCCTGTTACTTCCAACCCTGTTCAATACCAGCCTGAACTACTCCTCGATCCTGCTTACTCCCAACCCTGCTCAATACCAGCCTGAACTACTCCTCAATCCTGCTTACTCCCAACCCTGCTCAATACCAGCCTGAACTACTCCTCAATCCTGCTTACTTCCAACCCTGCTCAATACCAGCCTGAACTACTCCTCAATCCTGCTTACTTCCAACCCTGCTCAACACCAGCCTGAACTACTCCTCAATCCGGCTTACTTCCAACCCTGCTCAATACCAGCCTGAACTACTCCTCAATCCTGCTTACTCCCAACCCTGCTCAATACCAGCCTGAACTATGCCTCAATCCTGCTTACTCCCAACCCTGCTCAATACCAGCCTGAACTACTCCTCAATCCTGCTTACTTCCAACCCTGCTCAATACCAGCCTGAATGAACTACTCCTCAATCC